TATTACACCATCGATATCAGGGCGACGACATACTCGACACAGACATCCCGTCCCGTTTTGAAGTAATGTTTTTTAATTCAACACTTATGAAGACAATATGGATGGTATTGCAGCCCGTGTTTTACGCCCTGAGGCCTCTATTGGCTCAGCCATCGTTTGTGGTAAACCCCAGTCCTCTGGAACTGACAAATATTATTATCCAATTACTATTCAACGTATTGATTGGCCAATGGCTGGGATGGCATGTCGTGGCGTATATGATCGGCGGAATGGTGTTGGGTATGGGTTTGCATCCAATGTCCGGACATATAATCTCTGAACACTTTGTGATGTTTGACGAGAGGATTGATTTGCTGAAGAAGATTAAAAAAGATCACATCGAGACCGACGAGTATCTGAAACTAATGCCGGAGACCTATTCATATTACGGACCAATTAATATGATAATGTTTAACCTGGGCTATCACGTCGAGCACCACGACTTCCCGTCCATTCCCGGCGCCAATTTGCCCCGAGTTCGGGAAATCGCTCCCGAATTTTACGATTCCCTTCCGTCTCACAGTTCGTGGACTTATGTCATCTGGAAGTATATAACGGATCCAAAGATCGGTCCCTATTCTCGAGTCAAACGACCGCATCGTTTCGGTAAGAAGGATGAAAAGGCCGTCGATTTTATGAATGAAGTCAATGCAGTAATTGTTAAGTAATTTATTTAACTATTTTAACACGTTTTATAGATTTGTTAATTATATGTTTGACAGAACTTGAACAATTAATAAAATATTTAAATTATTTATGACCAATGTGAAATGTTCATAATGATCAATTATTAGTGAATTTTCCAAACAAAGTGTTCGCCGATTTAAAAATAAAAAATGATTTATTGATAATAATTATCAATATTTATTTATCTCTCAAATAATTAAACAAATTTTTCCGATTCACTAAAATTTGTTTGATTATCTCATTTAACTTAAATCAATGTCTCCATTATATCGTATAATTTTATTTTAAATTACAAAGTATCAAAGTTTTAAAACTTGTTATTTAAAATCTACAGGAAATCAATTTTATTTAACCGACCATTGGATAACCATTGAGTTTGTTTTTATTGCATATTTAGAAATGTTAAGATAATTAAAATATATATTTCTATAAATTAATTCAATATAATATTGTGTTAAACATTGGCGTCATTTAATATATTGTTATAAATGCCATGTTTGGACATTCATTGTGTCTATAATTAAATTAGTGACGAATTAGTGCAGCAAATGTAGCATTTATTACATTGAAATACTCTGATATGAACTAAATGATGGCACCGGTGGTAACTTTCCTTCCTTATCGTCGGTACATTACATGTACACAAATAACTTTTGCATTATTATTCAAATTGTTATTGAACTGAATTCAAATTAATATCATTATTTAAATTTTATCGATTAAAATACAATTGGTTTATATATGTTTTTATTAAAATTATAGTAAAATGACTTATAAATCAATATATTATAAGTATTTATTTGATTAACATTACAATCATTTTCAAATGACTATCACTTTTGAGTAATTTAGGAATTTTTTCAATTATTACTAAATATTGCTAATAATATTGAAAATATTTTTATGACTTTAACGACAATTAATAATAACGTAATTTAATTTTATTGATAATGCAATGAAGTAATTTTAAACATAAACCTAAATAACAATAAATTTCAATAAAATTTTGAAATTGCATTTACTTTTTTGTGTATTTCATACAATTCCGTCAATAAAAAAATAAATACAAATAAATTATTTTACAACAAAATAAAACATCGGAAAAATCTAATACAAAGCGGTTTCCATTGTATTCCTATGCAATTATTCGCACATATTTTTTACAATCATTTCAACCTTCGCTTCGGCTAATAATTAATACATTAATTTTGTGGAGGATTTTAACATAACGTAAACCCAATACACGTTTTCAAGTCAGTTATCTACAAGTGTTGTCAACATTTAATAATATATTTAATTATTATATATGTATATAATATATTGTAATAAATATTTTCCCAAATAAAATAGGATTGATTTATTTGTCAGCTAATTATTTACAATTCTCTCTCTCTTATCGATCGGTTATATTTGTTTCACCAGAGGTTTAATAGTTAATAANTCTCTCTCTCTCTCTCTCTCTCTCTCTCTCTCTCTCTCTCTCTAACTTGAGAACCAGAGATTGCAACAGATTTTCTCTCCAATTACACTAACATAATACACAATACCTAATCATAAGACCAAAACATCTATTATTTATTAACTATTAAACCTCTGGTGAAACAAATATAACCGATCGATAAGAGTATTAGACCTTTGGTATCAAATCTACTTTTTATTGTTTACAAAAACTTTTTTAAACAATTGAAAAATGTTATAATTTAGACGTGATAATAAAGTTAACATATTGAATGTTCACATAAATAATTGATTAACTAAATTATACTATTATTACATTTTTTGCCAATGACTTAATTCTGTGTTTATTTAATCTAAATACTACCCATTGAATTACAATGTCGTATGATTTGTATATTTTTATATAGTTATTGATACAAATAAGTTATTTGATGACTAGAAATATACTGCGATCTAAATAAATAAATAAATGTAAAATATCAAAAACATCGAGAAACATTTATAAATCAAACGTTAGACATAAAAACTTAAAAACACAGATAAATAACTCGATATAACCACCGGTTTATTATATATACATTGTATATAACGTTCACTACAAACTGATTTCGGACTTAATTTACAGAGTTTTATAAATAAAACAAAAATAATTTTTGTTTTATTGAATATGTAATACACATGAGTTAACTGAACGGCTGATCATCTGATATAAATTATTTGACTGGAAATATACGGTTTTGATGAAAGTTTTATTGTTAATATTTGTGACGGTAGATTAAAATTAATCTAGCTAAAACAATCTCTGGCAGTCCTTTTAGGTAAACTACTGGCTCGAGTAAAATGCATGACTTTTTTTGTTGCTATTATATTGTAGTTGTTTGTGATTTGAATTGATTTGGTGTATAATTTTGTCGATCAAACAATTGCGACGACAATGAACTGTCAGGAAATCGTCTCTCAAACTAATATATCTAATGTTATATTCAATATATCTTTGTTTACATTATTTATAATATATTCTGTGATTTAAGGCATTAAACGGCAGTATTTCTGCTTTCAATTGATCGATAGATCGTAAACATAACCATTCAATTGAATGGATATAAATATGAGCTCAAAACACTAATAATGAATTGCAATAACAATGCATTTTATTTATTGATTAATTAGATATTTTGAATGTTTGCCAAAAACATGTATACCATATGAGTGTCAAGAATATAATAGAAATGCCTCGCATTTGTTTCATATCTATAGGATTTCAATACAAATGTATTGTATTTTCATTGAGTTATTTGCACCAAAAGTTGCATAAATTTAAAAAGTCCTTAAACTTGTCACTGAAAGCTCCTATTCCTTAGGCATACAATCAAAAGTCCGTTGAAAACACCACTGAAATCATATGATAAGAACCCGTTTATGACTTTGATTTTTATGATATTATTA